GACGCCGAAAGAGAGAGAGTACCCCGCATCTAAGATCCTTTCCGGTTTTCCCAACGATCATCATCGCCTAAAGGCGTCACATATGGAGCAAGCGGACACAATTGCATTACGCACTCGGTACATGCGTATAATTGCGTTTTACATGCGAATTAAGCGAGTCGCTTCAACCGAGGTGACGAAACTCGCTCTCGGAGTTCTCGCATCAAATCCGGCTTTTGTGCCGTGCCGGAGATACACCGAGCACTCTCTCTCTCTCTCTCTCTCTCTCTTCTCTCTCTCTCTCTTCCTCTCTCAGATTTTCTTTTTTCTTTTAATAACCACGCGCGCGCGGACCGAATCCGAGCACAGACGCTGTAAACTGGAGGCGGATATACTGCCTTGTCTGAGCACACGTGTCGCAGACGGGGGTTAAAACGCCGATAAAAGTGAGCTATCGGGGGGTGGAAAAGGAGTAACCGCGTGCGTGATATTACACGCTCACTCATTCGCTCTCTCTCTCTCTCTCCCCCCTCTTCCCTCTTCCTCCGTTTCTCCCTGGTTCCCGTCTTTTCAGGGAATGTTCGAAGATTTCATTTGCGGTGGTTATGCTGTGCGAAAGGCGTCGTACGCGCAAGATTGCATTCGTCGGCGGAAACGGGAGTAACGGGACGGGCAGACAGCGAGGAATTAATTAATTAGAAGTGCCGAGGGAGATGCAATCCCAAACGTTCATCGTGGTCCCGTTGGTAGTCGTAAGATAACGCGAGAGATTACCGCGACAAAAGTTGGTTATAAAGCAAATTAAGACGAGAGACCGCTGAATGTTGAATGTTTGCGCGCAAAACACAATGGACATCGCATGGAAAATTGTCAAACTTCTCTTCTCTTTCGTTCTTTTTCTACATATGTGTATACACATATATATATATATATATATATACATATATTCTTTTTTATTTTATTGAAGCTTGGTCTGTCATATGCATTTCACGAGAGCCGACGACCACGTTATTTAAGCCGATAGTGCAAGGCGCAAATTAAAACAGATTTTTCTCTCCCTCCCGCCCTCGTTCAGGATATTTTTCCATATTTTTATTCTCGCACGCAGGCTGTGCGCGTCGCTGTTTTCTCATGAATAAAAAGAGCTACGGGATCAAACGAGGTTAAAGTACTGATGATAAAGGCTGTGTGCGTCAATATCACCGCGTTCGTGCATACACGCTATTACCTTCTTCCAGGTTACCGTAACCTGTCTGAGAGGAGGGGGGCAACAAACACGCAACTCAAAGTAATATTTTCATATACTTCCGGCGCGATGGAAACTACGAGGCAAGTTCGACTCTCCTTTCAATCGCGTTACCATTACTTTATTCATCGCTTTCTAACTTTCCGGTATACACTTCGTCAATATCGCGACTGAAGGTAGTCGGGAGTATCGCAACTTCTCTCTTTGCAACATGTTGATTGCACATTTCACGTTGCTCGACACGCTTCTGACACGCTATTTTGCAGAGGAGCGTCTGATAATAAATAAGAACACGGTTATCTTGAGTGTAATGCAAGTCGTCGTGGGCGAGAGGACGCTTAAAAAGCCATCGTGCCATCGCGGCACGTGTCGTACTCTCCTCTCCTTGTCGTCTCTTACTTATTCTACTGCGAATTTCTACTGAGGATCGCGAGGCGCACAGCACGAGTGCACGTTTTATCTCGGCGGTGCACGAATTGCACTCGTTAAAATTTGATTTGGCTCCTGCATATTTTAGACGAGATTTGCATCACATCGCGCGGTCCAAGATAAAGAGTGAAACCTGAAGAAGTGTGTACGTACCGCCGTCGCCGTAGCTGCTGCCGTCGCGACGGGAGCGTTGGATAATATATCGCCACGTGTGTAAACCGCCGCACGTTGCCGGGTTAATCGGCGTTACTCGTAGCGTTGCTCGCGGCCGCACAATTTTATCTCTCGTCGATCCGAGTTACAACGCGCGAACGATTTAATTTCGAGTCCTGCGAATGTTTGTTCGAATGTTTTATCCCCTTAGAATGCGCAAATCAACATGACTCTTCGCCCGACGTTAAAAATCACACACGGGCACAAACCACTTTTCGTTGAGATTAAAGCAACCCGTCGAAAATCAACATGGCGTATAATAATAATTCCACTTGGAATACATATAATAATTAATTGTGCGCTTCGACATGTTGACTGAATAAATATGAAGTCACAGAGTCTTCAGATTTCTCGCGTTAAAAAAACGCGATTTGAGAAATAAGATCTTCAGCGTAGAGAGCTCGTGTGCGATAAATACAGAATATAATAAAGCTATCCTTGCACAAATCGGTGCATCGTGAAGTTTGCGATAAAAAGGAAATTACACGAGCGTACATGAGTCACGTTTTAATTTCCGACATGCATCGAGAGATTGAAGGTCGCGGCTGTATTGGTGTATCGGTGTATTGGTGGCGCGAAAATCGTGGGTGTCTTAGGAAGAATAATACCTCCGGCCTCGGGGAGTAATATACCATCCTGCGTAATCTTATGTTGTATCACGTGCGGCGGTTGCCCCGCGAATAATTTCGCTCGTCATCTGGATATTTCGCACGAATATATTACCGCCCGCGAAAACTTGTAACGAGATTATCCCGACGTAGCTGCTTTGTATTTCAGAGTCATCAGCGTCTCCTAAAGTTTTCTCGATGCGGCTGACGCTGCATAAATATAAATAATGCTTTTGTCGCGATTCGATTTCGCTTAAATCGCGACGTGTTCGAAGCGACCTGTTCGTTCGCCAAAGTCGATTTTACGTGGTCGTTAACACGCTGACTACCATTTTCCGAGGATTGTTTCCGAAGCTTAATTAAAGAATTTCGAGTAACCAAAGTTACGACAAGTGCGTGCATTTTTCCTGACGCGTGTATTTTTAGCATTAGCCGTTTTTCTCAACCAGCTTCTCATTAGCTAATTCGTTAGAGATGCAATCAGGTACGCTTTATGCGCAAACTAATGAGACGCGACAGTATCGCAGTGTCAGTGGCAGTCAACGTGTTAAACGTATCGTTGTTGACATTCGATGCTGTCTTTTTACACAGAGGTAATTCTGTATTACCTTTGCTGAAAAACAGTCAATTGCGACCAAAGCAAAAAGTATTCAAGCAAATTATGGGATCGCTATATATAAAATGTGTACTCGAGAATAAAAATTAAAATGAAATTTTCATTGTAACAAAACACACGTACACATGTTATATCTAAACACGAAATAATAATACGAGATTCAGACTAATATAAATAAACAAACGTTTTATTCTCTACAATAGCATATAGCATATTGATGAAACGTTGCATGCGTGCCATTGTTATTACATGTTCGTTCGCGTAAAATATTGTTCCAATTAAATTCGACGTTCGTCGGATCTGAACATTGAATTTTTCATTCGGAGCGAACGTCTTGCGTGTACAGGGACGCGTGTTACGATTTTAGATCGACAAATTTGTATTATTATTCCGCGAGTAAACTCGCTATTTCTATTCGAATTCTATGTGTGTGTTTGTGTTGCTGTTATTAAAACATCATAATATAATCGCGGTATATATATACATATAACTTTCTAACAACCTAGTTCAACAACAAGTTGAACGTCGAGATCCAGCTCGACGCAGCTTTGCTTCATGCGCGAGATAGTGCTGAAAGGGTGTTGCCGTGTATATAGGGTGTTTCCCGACTTCGCAACGATAGCTTTCGGGTTCAATCAAATCCGTAAAAACAACGCGGTACAAAATGACTCGCGGATTCATCAACCGAAAAGCACACAGCATTCTGTGCCCGTTCGTACAGGTGAATCAATACTCTCCATCAGTTGCATTAAATTCCTTTGGACTTTTTTACACGACTATTCCCTATTTTACAAACGGTATATCAAAAAATAATGACGACGAAGATGAGGCAAAATTTTGCAACACCTATCATGTCGCATTTTTTAATTTCTTTCTCCGTTTTTTCTTTTTTTATATTCTATACTATGACGTAATTTTCGTTCAGTTTCACCGTTTAAAAAAGCGGAGCTACCGAGTATCTGCGGAACTCGCTTCGATAATACCAGCGTTACGAGACACCCTGTAGAGCAGCGTTGCAAGAGCCTCCGCCGGTGGATCCGTTGTGCGTGCGTGCGTGCATGCGTGCAATTACTACGTGCATATCGCATTGGTCACGAACGCCTCGACGTCCGGCTTCCTGACGAAACCGGCACAGCGCGGCATCGCGACGCCCGTTTCCCCCCCGATATCAAAATTCCATGCCTGGCACATGCTGGAATTTTTTACGGCCTCCGGTGCGTCGGTGTGGTGTGGTGTCACGAGAGCTGCGACCACACCCTGGCGGCTCGACACGACCTCGTGGAAGGGTAGTTAAGTAAGGGCACGACGCGAGAGGGGATCGGGAACTATCGGGGCGGTAGAAAAATAGTGCGAATGGAAACGGTGAGGTGCGGGCTAGTTTCCTCGGACACTCCGTAACTTCCAATGGCGATGAACGGAGAAAATACACGGGAGGTGCTATGTGAGGGGGAGGGAGGGGGGGGGGCGAACACTCAGGGAATGAAGGATGAGAAAGCACGAGATAAGGTCTATTTATATGCTGGGGAACATTTGTCTTCCTATCGTGTAGCCGAGAGACAGAGCGATTGACCGTTCGACGTTTTCGCCACTCACGTGATCCGCGCGAGGATATTAATTAATATTTTTCATCGAATGCGTTTCGCGCGATCGCGCATCTCTGTTAATTACAATCGACCAAGCGATGCTTTTAAGCTTCCCCAAGGAGACGAAGCTTTTATCTCGCTTCGAGATTCGGTACAGTCTATTCTGCGAGCGTGCTACACGCGTCGCGCGTGTTACACCGCCAATGTTCTCTCCGCGCGCTTCTCCAGCGCGATCGGTCCCTTCGCACACCACCAGATCTCATCAAGCCCTCACACACCTGTGCCTGCGCCGCCGCGGTGTATATCTCTATATTTATTGTTTCCAGAACCCTCGCCGTTGTACGACAACAACCACTACCACGAGGAGTGCCTAAAATGTAACAGCTGCGGCCTGAATCTCACGGGACCCAATCAGAAGCGGGCGAGACGGTGAGTACGACTGGGACTACTACGTGCGGCTCGTGCTTCCGCGGCGAGCGCCGTAAAACGATATTACGCTTTAGTAATCAGTACCGCCGTAACCGGTGCCTCATTAATGCGCGAAGCGCCGGGACGCGCCTCTTTACCTTTAATTATCGTGCTCGCTTCGTCGCGTTCCCATTTCACCCGGGACTTCCGGCGCGCGACGCTAACGATCGTTAATCGAACGCCGTACGCGCCGACAATCCGCCGCGCACGGGGGGAAGGGAAGAACGAGAGAAAGAAAAGAAGGGAAAGGAGAAAAAAAGAGTCCAGCCCCGGTCGAAAAATCTCGAGAGAAAGTTTCTTCTCCCCCATGAGCGTCCACCGAGGGTGTCGGGGGAAGACGGCTTTTGAGCTTAGGACGGATAAAAAAGATCTTTGCGAGATGCCTCGCCTGTATTTACCGCTTTCCACGGTATCTCCCATGTTTGCTTTTATTGTTAAATTTCCTGTGTGTGTTACGTACACACGCCATTTACGCATTAATACGCCGAATAATTTCGCATTATTAAGCACGTCGCGCGCTATTGAATGTTCAATTGTCTCTTGAAGCGCTTCCCTTTCAAAAAGGGTTAAACTGTGACATGGAGATTGCAGCGAAACTTGAAGAGCTTTAGCGAATTATCGAGATTTGGCACGGGAGACGAGTTCTCTATCCGGCGAGTCCCCTCCGCTTACGGCTGCGAACGGCTGCGGTGCAAACGGGAACAGCGGCGATATCGTTTCTATATCGCGTGTGATTTTGCGCCGTTTGACGGCGTAAAACGCGTGTACTGGAAATACTCGCGCGGCGCCGTTGAATAATATATTGCGATTTTATCACTCGAGTTATCCTTTATTTATTACTGGCCCCGGTCGGTTTATCATTCTTTTATTATCTCCGGTCCGATTTCACGCGGGATGCGTCTAATTACCGCTGAATGGGCGTCACATTTTGTACAGGCCGAGGTCGCTGTCGTTCCGAGGGGTGAAGCGTTTAATCGCGGACGACGAGGCGCGTGTTTTTATCGCCGGCGGTGGCGACGGTGCTTCACACTGTGCCGCCGTATTTTCACGATGTTAGATAGCGGGTACTATAATTTTTTTTTATCCGCGATTTAACACTGTGTTTACCGGAGGGAAATAATAAATGTAAAGCGTGTGCGCGCGCGCGCGCGCGCGCGCGTGCGGCAGGAAACCCGTCCTCGCTCTATTCTTCGCCCCGTGAATTCGCTCGATTCTTTCCCCCTCGCGTATTTTAAAAGACCGAGTCACAGTGCATGAAACGAGATCCACAAGAGACGAGCGGCTCCAGGACGGCTGAATTCCGAGGATATTTTAGTCTCGGTCACCGCACGCTGAATACCGAGGATATTCGCGATGAAATAGACTCGAGCGAAATTCTGCCGGATCGGGGGGTGTTTTCAGTGGTCGAGGATGGAGGCGATGGAGGCGAAGGAAAAGGACGTACGAACGCGAGCGGATCTCGTCTAAAGGGACCGATCGCGAAATAATGGACCGCGCGGCTTATTGTCAACGATAGTATACACCTGTCGCCTGACTGCGCGCATCGTGCGACGCACACGTGCCGTGACACTTCCTCCGTTTTCTTCCGCCCGTGCCTCTCTCTTTTTTTTTCTTCAGCCGTCCCGCAACCGAATCAAGCGCGAGGCCACGGAGGGGATACTCTTTGTGTAACGCGAGAAACTCATTCATTCGAGGCGCGGTCGTCGCGTAACTGCACTTTTCAAACGCGCCGCCGGCGGGGATTCCGTTCGCGATTTAACACTTTGTTCGCCGAGGTGAGAAAGGCGTCAACAGATCGCGCGACAGCGAAAGCCGCTTTTCCCGCCGTCTATACATCGCGAGACCGTCTGACTTTTACTATTTTATACCGTGTAGCGCGCATCACCACCGCGCGTCGCCGCCTTCGCTATTTCGCCACGGAGATACAAACTTCGGGCTCGACAAACACGACGATCCAAGTGCGCCGCGTGGAATCGAATGAACGAGCGAGAGAGTGAGCAACGTCGACAAATTCGATTTCAGATTAATCCGATCGACGAGATGACTCGCTGTGTCGGACACCTCTCATAGAAAATCATGCTTGTTTTGTCGCTTGGGAGTCACGTGGCTGCCGCTGCTCGACCGAGCGGAATGCCACCCCCGATCAGCGCGAGTATCGCGTTTTCGCATGTCCGCGCGCCCCCGTCCGTCCCCCCGAATCTACATGGCCGATATAATTTCGTTCTATGAATGGACACGCGGCTATCTATCGCGAGTCCCATTCGGCGACATTTCGTTTACGTCACCCACGCCGGATTATCGCGAGGGCTCAGCCGATCGGAAAGCCACCCCATCGCGCACGGTCGCGGATCACGTGCGGCGGGCTCAATCGTTGCGATTTTACGTGATACTCCGGCGGATAAAAAGGACGAACGAGATCCTTCCATCGGGCCTTCCCCGTCGGTTCAGCGGGCCCGGTGTGCCCGATTTGCGATTCAACGAGCGTTAGCGCGCGTGCGTTAAAAATCCGCCGTTATACACCATACTGCGCCATACTGCCACCCTCGGATGAGCTTCCTACGGCGCGAGCGGACACGATGGATATCGAAAAATATCTATTATACCGCCGTACAGGGACGCGGGCTCGGGTGAGACAGGCTGTGGAAATGGTGTGCGGAATGCTGTCAGACGCAGGCCGGATTGGAATGGACATTTTAACGTAACGGTACGCGGTTACACCGGGCCGTCTCGCGACCTTCACGCAGGTCGCTAATGCGTCGCTGCATCGCGCCGTCCGTCATCGCCGAAGAAAGTATAAATAGAATCGTCATCGGTGGAGCCGAGTGGAAATAACGGATCCGCGTCCGCGACGCGACGCTCGATCGCCATCCCTATCGAGCGGCAAGCTCGCCGCAATTCCGGCGGCGCATCAACGAGAGCAACTGGCGCAAACCGCACGTTAAAACGCTGAATTCGCCGTACTTTCGAACTTATCAAGCGGGGGGCAGTAAGTTGATATCTCGCGGAAGTTTGAGATCTATTAAATTTTATGAAGATACTTCAGCAAAGTTTATGGAGTTAAATTTCATACACCCCCTCCCCTCCCCGAGTGGGCACGGGGCGGAGATGTAATGTGCGGCTGAAAAATGAGCACGATAAGTAGAATAATATTCTTTTCATGGAGGAGAAAATTTATCGGTATACCTCGGAAGTCAAATAAACCCGAGGATGTCCGCCGGTCGGATTACGCCGTGATTCCCGCGAATCCCGCGGCGCGCAGTCAATGACTTTAATTGGTATCGCGTAAATCCTCGATAGAGCAGCGAGCGACGGAGGACGGAGATAAGGGGGGGGGGGGAGGGCCGTTCCAATAAAGGCGAGACGGCACAGCGCGAATTCGCATTTCATCAAACGGACCGAGCTCTCGCGAAGCCTTTCCGTTCCCTCGATTGTTTTCTTCCCGTGCGATGAAAGACTCGCGCTGAAATTCGCCGCTATTATTCGCGCGCCGAAGTGGGACGCATCGTTCGAGGAAAGCTCCAATTCGCCGATACAAACCGAGCGGCTCGGCCACTTGATTAGTCTCGCGTAATCGTCACTCTTTATGCCTCACCGGGATGAGATTTTCTCGACGAATGTCGTCGCTCACGACACGCTGATTAGAGACGCTCAGTCTGTCGCTGCAATCCCCACGAGCGCCCTTTCACGACTCTCGGCGGCGATGGTGGGAAACCGCCCGAAGCACCCACTCGTTCCTCGACGAGCGATTCTAAGGGTCGTTCTGCGTCTCCAGGTTCAAGAACCAGATACTTTGCGATCTGCACTTTGCCGACGTGGCGCTGATGGAGTGCTCGGACTTCATGCAGCAGTTGCGCAGCTTCAAACCACAAAGTTTAGGCTGCGCAGTTGCGAGAAGAAAGTCCTCGACCACCTTGATCTTCCCGCTGCCACCTCAGGCGTGCTCCGGTGAGTACTCGTCGCCGTTCTCGTCGTCGTCGAGAGACCCCATCGTTCTTTCTCTTACACTCCCTTCCTCTCTTCCTCGCCTCCTGCCTCGCCTGACACTCGAATCGCTACGTTCTCGCTAGCAGCTCAGGGTGTGATATGTATGAGACGAAGCTACAGGTGGTTCCGCCCGTCTTGGATTACGCACGATTACGTGTGCGAAGCTACCTCGTGACGTCGGATTCGAAAGCAACGCGAGGAGGCGTGAGGCTTTCGCGGCGGAATCGCGCGATAAATGAAGTCGCGATCATGACGTGACACGCGAGTGCGCGTAACGGAGGAAACAACAGCCGTCGTGCTTCCCCGGCTCTGCGGGAATCAGACTGCTGCTCGCGACGAGGTGATTTGAGGACATCGCGAGCTAATCTTGCGCTGGTTGGAATAATTCTCCGCCAGGAATTCCCATCGTGCCGAGCCCGGCCCGAGGTCACGGGAGACTTATGTTTCTCCCTTTGACGCGCGTCCCGCGATCCATCGTTTTGGCCGGCGGGTTGAGAAATTCAGCCCATCGCGCGCGCGCGCCATGCCGAAATTTGGGTTTCCACTGAGATATGGGCGGCCATTCTGAGCGAACAAAGAACTCGACAATTAGGCTGAACCGCGCGGACGCAGACGAAGAAGAAGAGGAGGCACCGCGGGCGGTTCACTCTAAGTTCGGATACCAAGCCCTGTCTGTAAATAGCTTGGTGTTCTACCTTACAGTGAATCGACTGCGGTATCGTCGACTGCCATACACGCCGATGAAAAGAGCAAGTAAGCGAGCAAGCGGACGGACAGGCAAGCAGGCAGGCAAGTAGACAGCAAATAGGAAGGAAGGAAGACGAAGATTGATAAAACGATGCGGCAGCCGAGGGGTCGGAGAAGAAGAAACATATTATCGAGGATACGTGCTTAAGTGGACGTGAGTCCGCCTTGTGGAAGGAGAATCACTTCGGGATTCTCTACCTTCGCGTTCCGCTTCTCACGCTCGACTCACCCTCGAGCTTCTATTTTGCCGGATCGGATTCCACTCTTAATGATTTCAGCCGGAGTGCTTGTCTTCGTTGCCATTTGCTCCGTGCGATTTTCTCGCTCTCTCTTTCTTGCTCTATCCCTCCTCGCTCACTCTTTCGCGCTCGTTCTTTTCCCGCCGCTTCGTTTCGTTTCGTCTTTTCTCATAGTCATTTCTAAACAAACCCCTTTCGCCTCGGGAACGAGCCGACTGATTCTTTTCGCATCCTCAGAGAACAGAGGAGTACTATCGGCGCTATCGCTCGCTAATTCGCTCCGACAAGGGGAGAATGTTAGACGAGCAGGATTAATTAACGTTAATCTCGCTTTGAGTGAAATTGCTCGATCGACATCTGCGCGCGCGCGCGCGCTTCACGATGAGAACGAGGGTTATTGTATTTATGTACACAACGCGCGCCACGTAATAACTTGTAACCCTGCGACGCCGCTCTTTAGCGATCACCGATTTCTTTCGTCCGATCCGCGCGACACATTTGATCCTTTTGTGAGAATGCGATTCAAATCGCCTGCGAAACTTCCTGTTAGAAACTAAGTACCCGTCGTAGACGGGTCGTAGAAATCTCGCATTACGATAACGAAAAAGAACACAGGGCAGCCAATGGTTGCTTAAGTTGCTGTAACGCGATTGTTGGTTACACGCGAGCATTCTGCAAAGAGCTGATATTTAGGCTCTTTAAGATCCCCAAGACAGTTGTACTTTTCACACACTCTAGAGAGATGTTCTGTTCGCGTGGTCAGCTGAAGACTCGAGACTCTACATCCATTCTCGTTGCCTTAGACACGTTAGAGAAAGGCAAATCCGTAGAAAACGGATAGATTAGGAATGGGCGCAAGTTGAGAGGGTGAATCTTGCCGTAGATGAGTTCTGCCAAGAGTTTCCGCACAATCTGTTACCGACGCCCGGCTATTGGATCGAGTGTTCGCGGCAGCAGATCGCGTCGGACACGATCTGGGACGAGACCGAGAGCGATCGCGAGGCTACCGATCCCGAGCACGTGGAGGAGCAGTTGGAGTCGTCGTCGATGCTAAAGCGGCAGGGCGACAGCTTCTGCCTATTTGAGGAGAACGAGGTCGACACGGACGATGTGCCACGGAAGAAGACCGTCATCGAGGAGCAGTGGGAGAAAAATCTGGGCTTCGAGCTCACCTCAGTCGAGCAGGAGACCTATGAGAAGTATTTCTACGGCTCGGAGCACTGGAATTACTTCACGAACGACGAGGATCTCGGACCGGTGATACTCAGCATCAAGCAGGAGACGCTCAACGGCCGGGACCAGTTCAGGATCCTGGTCAGAGCCATCAGCTACACGGTCCACGGCCTCATACCCGCCAGCTGTGTCTTTGCCGACCGGTAATGACCGTCGCGTCTCATTTTTTATTCACTTGCACACGTACGCCTGTCACTCATCGTTTATACGTCCATTACATCGTGTTCGTATCGATAAGATCGACAACAGGGGGATACACAAATCCCCATCTCAATTCACGTAGAAATTTATGCTGACAGCGGTGACACGAGCGGATAGTTTAATAATAAGGTTAATTTTCTTCATGGAGATACATGGTGGTTTCGCCGCAGGTACAATCGCGAGGAAGTGGTACGTAGCCTTGGCAAGGAGGTGAACATCAATCCGCCGTTGACTCTAGGCCAATTGCCGGACACGCCCGAAGAACTTCTGAAGCTCGATCAAGTTTTTATCAAGTCCGAGCTGAAGGTGGGGGTGATGTATGTCCAGGAAGGTCAGTACAACGAGGAGGAGATACTCGACAACAACGACAACTCGCTGCTCTTCGAGGAGTTCCTCCAGATTCTCGGCGACAAGATCAGACTGAAGGGTTTCGATAAGTACAAAGGCGGTCTCGACACCGTGCACGATTTGACGGGCCTATATTCTGTCTACACCAACTGGAGGGGTATCGAGATAATGTTTCATGTGTCCACTCTATTGCCTTACGAGAAGCACGACCCTCAAAAGGTGAGTCACTCGCATTCGTATTCCTCGTTGTTTCGCGACTTTATCCCGGCGAGATACTTCTCGGCTCCCGAACGACCCAGAGTAATCTTAGATGATGAAACCGGTGTCGGGAACTCGCACCGAAAGCTTCTCGTTTTCGTTCGCTCCAGCTCCAGAGGAAGAGACACATCGGCAACGATATAGTGTGCGTCGTGTTTCTGGAAGCCGACAACACGCACTTCAGTCCATCTTGCATCAAGTCACATTTTTTGCATACGTTTATCCTGGTGCGAGTGAGTCCACGGATAAAGCGGAAGATCACGAGATACGAGGTGTCCGTGGTCACGAGGGACGAAGTTGGGGCCTACAAGCCGTATCTATGGGAGCAAAGTGTTTTCGAAAAAGGTGCCGATTATACGATCTTTATATCGATAACATTGAGATAGTAGAAGGAGCTGAAGTTCGTTTAACTTTGTCGCCGCGATGTAAAGTTTAGAAGAGAAAAGTCTTTTTTATTCTCACGTCCGCACATCGCGTGCATTGCGACCGCAAAATTGTGTGTATCGTCAGATGCTATTTTATTCAACATTTAATCATCATGATGATTATATTAAATAATTATGTATAATTATTCGTAATAATATCATTTTCATCATGTAAATTCTACATTATTCGCGTTACGAGTTTCAACCAATCCAATATGATTTTGCTAATTTCCATTCTGACGTCATGCTACAATTACCGAACTTCTTCTAATTGTCAGTTACGAAGAGCTGTAACAGACGGTACGAATGGCATTAAATTCGCATTAGCCGGGCTATTTTGGAATGGGGTGTCAACTTAAAATCACTCTTACGTCTCGTCTAACTTATCGAATTGGAATATTCGGGCGCAACAGGTCCGATGTTCCGCGAATGGATTTTGACGAAAATCGTGAACGGCGAGAGGGCGAGTTATTCAGCGCCGAAATTCGCGAGAATGCAGGAGAGAACGAGGAGTCAAATGCTGGAGGACATCGTGGCGAATCTCGCGAATCACGCGGAGACCGGGCAGATTCCGAAGCCGTACAGGTGAGAAAACACGTGGCAATAATAAAATCTCAAAAAATACGCGAATGAACGAATACGCAAAACAATATAATTACGTGAAATATGAGCAATATACTTTTTTTTTATATCATTTCGATATACGTTCAATATATCTTTGAAAAATTTTATAGTTATATCATGCTCTCTGTGTCAAAATATTTTTAAATTTAATAATGACTGGTTTTGTTATCCCCGTTATAAATTGACTATCCGACTGTAAAACGCTCGATATCAATTATTATTCACTCAATCGGTCCATAGGATTAGATCTGTGATTATTTATGTGTAGACGAGGTTCTTGGCGACCGATTGGACATATGAGACCGTCCTCGCCGTTGCTGGACTCGGTACGAGATCAATTTGAGGACTATGATCAACTTGCGAAGGACTTCACTCGAGTGTTCCTCAATAACTCAGCGAACGTGACGCTAAACGCTAGTCTGTTCGACGTCTCCTTCCTCGTGCCGGGACAGCAAAAACAAAAAGTCAGATTCATCGGTGTTAGGGCGATTTTAGCAGTGAGAAGCAGGTAACAGCTCTTAATACTCTCTTCTTGGAAGATTATAGACATGGCAATTATTTGTCGTGCAATAATATCAGAAAGTAAAATGCGAAATATCAAGCTGAAATTGAAGTGACACATCATGTCCCCCAGGGACTGTGAATTAATGTCCGATAAACCCAAATTGTGTTTGCTTAATTGGACTGGCGCAGGAAGATGTTTTTCCAATAATTCGTTGGTTATTGTGGTCCGCGAACTTTGAATGTAAAATAAATATTTTCTAATTAAGCACATTGTATGTGTGTGTGTGTGTTGTATGTGTTTTGTCGATTTGTGAGTTTGAAATAATCAACGGATTGAATAATCGACATGAATATAAAATATACAGGGTGTTCCGTAAGTCGAGGTCAATCGCTCGAGAGATGAATGGGGAACCAACAAGAAAGCACGCAAACAAGAAAGAAAATTGATACAAACATAGGTCCAAAAATGCGTTGTTTTCGAGTTATCGCTATTTTTATGTTAAAATTTGAAATTGCTTTGCTTTCGAATTCTTTTGGTTTTGGAATTTCGATGGTTTTTATGAGTTTCAAAACATAACTAAAGTCAAATAAAAGTTGCGGGCTGCTTTAGCACTACCCAGGATGCACCGCGTGGAAGTACAGCCCACTTAACATCCCTTGACAGAGATCAGGACCCCACAGTTCGTCACTCCTGTGGTATTTAGTGACTCCAAACCCTCTCTGTCGTGTGTATGTGTGTGTTTTATTTGACTTTAGTAGTGTTTTGAAACTCATAAAAACCATCGAAATTCCAAAACCAGAAAAATTCGAAAGCAAAGCAACTTCAAATTTTAACACAAAAATGGCGATAACTCGAAAACAACGCATTTTCGGACCTATGTTTGTATCAACTTTCTTTCTTGTTTGTGGTTCCCCATTCATCTCTCGAGCGATTGACCTCGACTTACGGAACACCCTGTATAATTGTGAAACACACAGCGAGACAAAACTAAGAATAAATATATAGAAATAAAGTAAGAAAAAATATAGGAGATGCACAACTGCTAGGCAGAAGAAATTATTTCTGCGAGGAATTCGTTCTTAATTAGGTAACCAAACTTATCTGCAATATCACATAAATATTGGTCTTTGTACAGAGTGTTCCAAGAAATGCTGTACGGTATTCAAGCGGGTTTTGGAAGCCCGCAGGTACCAGTCGCCGAGTTACTGGCGAGACCGGCGCCGACGTTGCTCAGCCCGCAGAAACCGAAGAGCTCGAATTTCCTTCAAGTTCCCGATGTAGAAAGTCCTAGGTACGTTCGCGTTTGGATAGATGTTGTTACTCCGTTGTTGACATTTAGACTTGGTAGTCTCATAAGGAGTCCAGTTCAAAATCGTTGATAACGAAGTCCGTTCGTTAATGAGACGGAATTCGTCATCATTACGAAGGAAAAAAGAAAAAAAAAAAACACTAGTGAACCTCGCAATTGAACTATCGTCGTTCGTGTGAGAAACGCTGTCGAAATAATTGTTACCACGACTCCGCAAAGCACATTCGTGAAACTAATTGGCGACTCAAAAGCATTCACTTAGGAAGTTAGGTGTGGGTTCGTTAAGGGTATCGATCGCAGATTGCGCAGAAGTGTGGATTATGCGAACTTTTGTGCAAAAACGGATTTCCCTAATGAGAATAAACTGGAAACTCGTTTCAGGGGTGAGACTGATGCCTGCGATTTTCAGTGTGTCGAATGTTTCTTTCATATTTACATATACGTATATATGTATATATACATATAAATATATATATATGTATCTATATATTAGATATATACATATTGGATCGTAATATATGTATCTTTTCACGGCACATCCATGTCTCCTATCCTCATGGCACCGCATGATTATTATCTCGTGCAATTATCTTCTTATTTGTCAATATGTATTCTTTATTTACATATCGTATACACACATATATATACACATACATACATATATATATATATATATAAATATATATATATGATACAAGAGGTCCAAATTTCTGAAATCACGTGTCGTACATTGAATTCTATGTGGCATGCTCTTACTTGAAAAATGACCCGCAATATTCTGCCGAACGATATCGTATGACTCGCCTTGCTTCGAATCGTTTGTTGGGAAGAAACGAGAAGTTATTTTACACAAACAGCGACATTTCATGAATGAATTCTGGTCGTTTTGCTCGCTGACACTCTTTGCCGAAACTGTATCCTCTAATTTTGGTGTGTTCTTTTTTCTCTCATTTTCCGTACGTCTCAATATAATGTAATGATACATCACCAAGTATGCTTCCTTCCGTACACTTCCACCGTAAACGCCACCACCGATAATTTCGTATTGTCGTAATTCGTGTCGCTGCAGTTTTCGTTTATACTCCAAATCTGTCTCGTAAGCGATCACCGATTATATTGACGATTCGGCAAACGTTTTTTCTATCGCTGCTGTGGATTCGATGATTATGCGTAACGAGTTATCCCGTGATTCATCGCACGTTGATTCGTACAAATAGCAAACTTTGAGAGCGTGCTTTCGTCGTTGTCTAGTTTTCATTTCGCAACTTTATATTCGATATATCTCCCTCTTCACCGATTGTGTAACCCCTCTCTCCCCAATCCGCGCCCGTCACTCTTGGACTTGTCCTTATCTCTCTATGTGAAATCCTCGTAAATTCCATCTCCAAACCTTTAAGTGCCGCTCCGCGGTTTCTGTGAGATACTGGTTCTGATGTGTTTAGGCCCAAAAGCGTCCCCTCGTCGCCGATGGTGAAACGGGCCTTCTCACGATTGGGCACGATCACCGCGGGATGGGGTAGGAGCATCAGGAAGCACGGCAGTGGGACCCTGCAGAGCGAAGATCGAAAACGATGGGCCAGCTCGCAAGACTGCAGTAGTACGTATCTCGCTTCTTACGAGGAAAGAGCAGAAAAAAACACGAGCAAAGAGCATAAAGGATGAAAGTTTTTATCTCGTATATCACGAGTCCTTCAGCAGCTTTGCGTTCGAATATAACGTATACTCTATCTTTGATATTTAACGATGGCATGCAAAGATGCGTCCTTACGATAAGTTCTACTACGATGGAACGGAGGGATGGAGTTTAAACATAATTTCTTACAGACAAGGAAGCGAAAGATAAGGATAAAGCGGCCCAGTCACTAGCAGTGCCAAGGCTCAGCGTTTGCGCGGACGCGCAGAAAGTAGATAGAGCGAAACTAGCACAGACCGAGGTGAGCGTGACGTCAGACGTCTATCCTCATACCGAGAAGTGGATGAAAAGTGTTTTCCAAGAGTTCGTGTTATCGCATGAAATTGTAATATCCTGAGAAATGTACTATCGATCTTATCAGCTGTGCATCGGGACGTCTTAATGTTTTATATTCGTTATTCTCCGTTTCCGAACAAACCGCCATCGGATGCCACTTTCATCGGCAACCCGATAATTAATATTAAATTCGTGTTGAGTCGTTATAATTTTCGATCACAGACCAAAAAAAGTATATTACTTTCCCTCTCATTAACGAAAGGGAATATTTCCAGTTCGACATTATAGAGTTCGATCCGGAAACGTTCCGAATCCTGTTGGACTACCTGCACACTGGATCCTGTCCGCTGACGTGTAGCAACATACCGGGTCTGATATGCGCCGCGGAGCACTACGACCTGCCTGAGCTTCTTCAGGCTTGCTTCCATCACGCCAAGCAGTTCCTCAGAATCGAGATCGTCTGCGTGATGCTCTGTGCCCTCGAGAATTACTACTGGCGCTACACGTCCGCCTCCGAACTGGTCAACATGATCCTCTCGTTCGTGGAGACTAGGGCCTACCAGCTCTTCCAGAACCCGGACTTTCTCACACTGAGCGAGTCGATGGTGCAGATGATCATGTGCCGTAGTCTCGAAGTGGTGGAGATCAGGAAGTTCGAGGCGATGTTGAACTGGGCGAATCACAGAATCAAAACCAAGACGAAGATCGACGCCAAGGTGGAGTTCAAATGTATCATGGAGAGGCTCAGTAGGGATCTTAAATTGTACAGGATAACACCTCACGAACTGATCAGGGTAAGTATCGGAAGCACGAATGTGTGCGGGAGGACGAGATATAAAAGGAAGCAGATAAAAGTGCCAGGCGATATTACGACGTGAAGTGAAATATCGTAATTCGTTCATTTCTTGAACTACCGTAAAGTAAGAACTATTACTATGCGACTGTTGCTCTTGTGATTAAGAATTTGCTGTGTATCAACTCTAGTCGTCCCTCGTCTTTTCAGATCGTGCTGCCGTCGAAGGCGATAAAAAACGAACGTATTCTCGAGACCCTGATGTACCAAGCGAATACGGGCATCTACAGGAACGTCGATAGCTACTTGGAGGCGTATCAGAAGAAAGTGCAGAATCAAGATAGCTTCGACTGCGGGATATAAGAATATCGACGGAAACGCGCGAGAGACGTCGCGTAGAACGATGTGTACCTGAAGATATCTTCCGACGATCTACCGACGAATTATCCGACTACGGAAATGTCTTATTTCGTCTCGCGCCGCTCTCTGCAATCTCATGTCGCGCCGGTGACCGGCGGACTCATTGCGCGCGAATAATCGCGCGATCGCTTTTTTCCTTTTTGCGGCAGTGATCTGTAATTAGAGTGTCGAGCGAGCGCGATATTCGATACGTAGGAGAGGATAATTACACTGCGGAGCCTGACAAGAGTTATGATAGATTGCTCCGAGATCGTATAGGGTCGCTGTTGCTGAGCCACTCGACGAATAATGAGTTTAGATACAGTCTCCGCTCCACTCGCGCAAACTTTGCTCGGTATTCGCGCGGTAATTCAATCGCGTCTGGTGGCTCAAGCTGCCGCCCTTGTTTTGTTCACGCCATCGAGGTAAATCATCCGGGGGAAATAGCGACGTAATCCCGATATCTTGCGACCGTTATTTTCGTGAACGACCCGATTAACTGCTTGATGAAGAGAGATCTTCAAGGGGATGTAAAAAAAAGTAAATGGACTTCTTTTCCCCCTTTCGATCAAGAAGTTAATCGAATCATTTGTGAATAGCGACAGTCGCGGGTTGTTGAAAGGAACTTTCCACTTGTTCGACGAATATCAGGTAAAACTAGGTAAAGCTGTGAAATATTGGGTCCTGCGCCGGTAAAAATAAAAGTTTCACGCGTGTCGCGTGATTACAGAAATTCTTAAGATGTATACGAAGGGAATAGACTTTCCTTCCGATTTTTAAGATCTTAAGATGTAAAATTCGCCTTATAACAATGCTTCCTCATGATTTCGTAACGCGTTAGTTTAATTTTATATCATTGTCATCATAAGATAACATTGAGGCGTTAAAAATAATATTTATTCTTATTATATTATACGAATTCTTATATTGTTTCCTCTTTCTAGAATCTTCTTTCTTAGAAAATACGTTTTATTTGATTTTTTGTATGAGTTTTTGTGTCTCGTTTTCTTATCGAATACGTTATATTTCCAATAGCAGAAAATGTTCTTCCAAGGTGGTAAAGGCAGCGAGTACTTAGTATTGATGAATTGGGCGAGGAAATAAGGTGGGGAACACAATTACGATGTGATCGGCGTTTCGTATTAAAGTTTCGCGAGCGGGCGTCATCAATCTTCGATGCAGGATTTGCTACGTGTTAATTCTAATACGCGGTATCGATAGAAGGAGCGTACTGTCGACCGACGCGGCTGAGGTCAAAATTAAAATTTTCTTACCGTAAATAAGGAGATTCGCGCGACAGGAATTCAGTTTAGATAGAGATCAAAATAATTAATTAAGAAGAAGAAAAGTGTCATAGCTATGTTGCAGCACCGCGAGTGGACAACAACGAGGACGAATGTGGCCAGTGATGTTTTTCCGTGCGGCATTACTCGTTCTTGCGTGTAGACGAAGCAAGAACGCAAAAGCAACGGGAAACGAACCGACGACACGTCGTCGTTGTCGCGAGCATGAGACACGATGCTAACGCAGTCAAAAAGAAAACTAGTTCACCTCTGTGGTCATCGACCGGAGACTCTCGAGGGCGCGCGCGTATCACAGCCAGAAATATCGATGGCACTTAATAAATTGCCGACACGTGACAATCTGTATCATAAAGACAAAAGATGCTAATAACACGATAAATAACATGCTAATAACACGATATAAAAAAGGTTTACGTAAAAATTAAAATTAAAAGGTAAAAAACTTTAATTACTACGTATAAGCTTAAAGGGATATATAAATATATACATATATATATATATATATATATATATACGTATATATAAATATATATATATATAATATAATATACATACACGTATTGATAAGAATAAAACTCTAAAACTGATGAATAACAATAATAAAAGAAGAGAATAATAACGATAATAGTAATAATGGAGAATTACTAATGAGAATTACTAATAAGACGATAAAGCGCTAAGTATGTCGATGTTGAATGTGAGGTGAAAAATCAGATATATTTGAGGTCTTGTTCTGTTTTCTATCGTAGATTTTGTATCTTCGAATACTCTAAGGCGGAGATTCTAAAATTCACACGGGAGCAGACTGGAGAAAGAATTTTTCGCGCGATAGTGCGCGGGCCCCCTTTTTTTTCGTTTGAGGAGATGTCTCCCTTTCAGAAGAGAGGGGACACTCACCTCCCCCCGATTGTACTCGCAAAATTTTTTATCGCACAATCATGGACTGCACTGATCTTCCCGTTCGACGAAGAAAGACGAGACATATCGACGATCCTTCTCCGCCGGGAGAACGGATTTCCGAGCTCTGACGTTGGGGTTTTCACTCGAGCTTGACCAACGTGATTTCGAAGAATTTTTGCGAATCTTAAGATGAGATCTCGAGTACTGGTTACGCTTCTATGACGAATATATCAAAAAAGAGAGAGAGAGAGAGAGAGAGAGAGAGAGAGAGAGAAGAAAAAAGGAGAGCAGAGGAGAGAAGAGGAAAGAAAGAGAGAGAGAGAGAGTGAGAGGGGGAGGGGGAGGGAGGAAGGAAGAGGGATGGTATGAGAAAGCAAAGGGGAAGACGAAATCGCGCGCGATTTAATATACGGATTGAAAATTTCGCGAACTTTGGAGATCCTTTGCAGAAATCAATTTTCTCCGGGATTCCCAGGACAGAAAATATTTTTACACGATCTCGATCGGGGTCGTCCGCAATACGACATAATATTTTCGAGCGTCGATCCCCCTGTGTATATTATGTTATTATATACGTACAAGTAACATATATTACGGTGTAACGTGCGTAAAGGTAAGAAGGCCATTAATCCTCAGCCACTCTACGGTGACTTCAAATCTGTCACCTGTTTCGGACATCTCGCGATGTGCAAGAAATAACGTATGGCTCGTGTGTTCAATTGATTGATCTCAAACTTTTCCATAGGCCAAAATGTAGAGATTTTACGATCAACGGTATGTGCGTTTTCACAAACCGTCGATTTTAAGATGATATTGTTCGCCACATCTTCCATATTACCATGCAATTATATCGTAGAAATTATTTAAAACTCGTCATTAGTATTAATGTGATTCGATAGTATATATACATGAAAATATGTATTAATATAATGAAAACAATTATTTTAGTATTCGTGTACATTAGAAATAATTTTTAAGTTAACAATTTATCCTTCGTCATAAGTAAAACACACAAATCGATATGGACATGCTGAGGACGGTCATAGATAAAGTCAGAGATAAACTTGTTCTCTAATCAATTACCGGGGCCAGAATTGACGTCACCGTACAGATTTTTCAAAATTCATCCACAGTGGTTGAGGGATAAAACTGGCCCACCTCTCGCCACAAGGGTCGCCAAAACTGTTAAGTGTCTTATTGTTCCGGCAAGCGGCTGGACGAAAATAGAGTTTCGAAATGTCTTCGCTCGAGGATAAGCTGATTATTACTGCACACCAAATCGTTACGTAAAATCATTCGTTTCGGATATCGTGTAATCATTAACTTTTGACATCGATCGTTTACGACGTGCGGCAAGAAGGACTTTTTTGTAATGCTTTTGCGGATTAATATAACAATGGAGTACTAATATACACAAGATGCGTGCTTATAATAAAAAATTATATGTATCTAATGAAATGAAAATTGTGTGAATCAGTTATGGAAGAAATCGTCTTAAGTCGATAACTTCTTAAAAAATGAAAATTGCATTATTACAAAGCTATGAAAAACCAGATAATCAAAAGATAAACTCTTCAATCGTGCAGTAGTTACTTTCTTAGCTGATGCAGCTGACAATTTTCTCGGAGAGAATAAATAAATTAATCACTAGTAGCATAAATCGCAAATCTGCGCAAAAGTGAGTCTAATGAGAAGACATCGAAACTCGGCATCCGCACATATGAGCATGATGGATTTTCTATCGTGAGGTATCATGTATTACTTGGCGATCCGAACGAAAAACACACGATAATGGCAAACGAAACGCGAAGACCGAGCGAAACTCGAAATTCTACTTCGTCAGTATGTAAGCGTAGATGTTTCAGTGTGTGATCGAAGTGTATTTGATTAGTCGCTGTATCGATTTCCACGTCTCACAATCTCCGTAGAGACGCCAGGAAGCTCATTCATCGCGCGCTATATGGTGTGTAAAATAATTCGCGTCTATACTATTGAAGCATTGTGAATATTACCTAACAAGAGCTCGATTCAGATATCGTAATATTATCTGAAACGCGTACTTTCAACGCGTACATCATTTTTTACGATAAAAAGAAAATGATGATTGCATGTTCGAAGCTGCACGTAAACAATTTTTTGTGCGCCGGGGTCAGAAAGATTAACTAGGCTTTATTTAATTATCACATTTTTAAGCATCGCGAAAAAAATTGATCATCAGACTCAAGTTTTTACGTGAAATAACATGCGAATACAAGTCGCGAATTAATTTACATCCTGTATTTATCGGGGCGAAAATCGGCGCAGGTTCATTTAAATTTCACAAGACGACAAAGTCCGTCACGCATACGTTATTATGACGTAGTTGCGGTCTCGTAATCGCGAGTATAATTAGTTACGTGTAAATTCGAGATACCCGTCAGGATATATCTTAACGCGAATTTCTACTTATAAAGTTGAGAATACTGCGTGTGAACATTACACGCTACACTCAAGTAAGTACGCGTAATGTTTCTAATGCGTTATAACGCTGCAATTTATTTTTAAATTCAATCTTAAGAGTTCACAGTTTAATAAACGCACACTTAATTGATCGCGCAAAATTATATTTTCCAAATAATTCATCCGCGAAAATTCAACTAGCACACGTGCACATTTGTGCAACGCGATCGTTCGTTCACATTTACTCAAAACGTGGCATATATTCGCAAAATCAATATAACATCAATATAACATTGAAAAATAACGTCGTTGTGTTCAGATTTGGGTGCTGTAGCTAGGTGAAAAAAAAAACCTCGTATAAGATTCATATCTATGACATCGGTGGATTGAATTTTGTGTGTGTGTGTGTGTGTGTGTGTGTGTGTGTGTGTGTGTGTGTGCGCGCGCGCGCACGCGCGCCGAGAATATAAAACGGTCCTCGGAGGTGTACAAGACGTGACTGGAGATATGAAAATATTTGATCCTGCGTTCGAGTTCGCCCGAGATACCACAAATCAGTACAAACTTGCGCTTGTCGTATGTAACTCTTCCTTCTCTCGCGCCGCGGCACGGGTATACTAATGTACAAAGCGACTTTTTTTACTGTACTCAACGACAGTTCAGGCGTTGCTCGGTCAAGGGAGAACAGTAAAGGGGGGAAAGAATGTATCATGTGCGAGCACAACACCCCCACTTTCGAGAACAACCGAAAATGAAAATTGAGAAAAAATGTCATCGAACGCCATTCTGTCCAGCCATTGCCGCCTACTGTTCCACAGCATATTCATTCAAGCAGATATGTAAAGAAACTATTTCGCAAAGAGACGAATAAAAACTAAAAAAAGTATATCTATATACGCATACATATACATACATGCATATATATAAAATATATATAGATATTATTTATATATATATATATGTATATATATAAATATATAAATATATAAATACATATATATGTGTAAATATTAAACGTACACACACGTACGCATGGCATACACGTTCACATGTAATGTAGAAGGAGAGAGTGAGAGAAAGAGAGAGAGTAAGAGTATATAATGCGACGAATAACAAATAAAAGAAAAAAAGAAAAAAACTGTATGTGTAAACGGGACATTGTGCGCCACGTGAGCGGACTCCGGCGAGTAAGTAGAGTAAGTAAAGAGTAACTCTAGACGCACATTGAGACGGATAGTGGATTTCTGATACGGCAAGGTGGAAAGAGAGAGAGAGAGAGAGAGAGAGGGAGAGAGAGAGAAAGATTGCATTATCGGAAGCGACTTTTTGCCACGGTGATGGGTGACCTGAGGATCGTCTCACGTCCTAGGAAAATAATCAAGCGCTAAATGCGGCATATCGCTAAATGAATCGAGGCTGATTAATCGATTCGTCACAGTCCCGCTCGCACCAGTTGCTTGCGTCATCGTGTTAATTGATATTAGAGCTTTCAGCTGTAATGTTCCATTCCACAGATAGTACAGTATCTGTACTGTGTACACTAGTACAATATCTACGCTCTGCAATGATGATAATTTTGTAACACACACCGAGAACTCCCCACTGAACTGATCCGCGCAAATCAAAACTCTGTCGGCGTAATTAATTAATTACGGGCGCGCGCTTCGCGGTGTTTACGACAATGACCGCGCGCACCTACTGTGTTGCCCATGACTCAATGTGCGGCTGGTTTTTAAGGATAATCCCAATCGCGTTTGTTGCGTTTCGTGCGATATATATGAAGGTTGTGCGTAATATTAAGCGCTTCTCGAATTCTCCGGTATGCGTCTGGTTATTCGTGCGATAGTCTATAAATGTGTTGTTGCGATGTCGCGTATATATGTGTCATCCTTCTTATCTTGTTAAATACTCGCTGTCCTCCTCGACACCGCTGCCATTGAATTTTCATCTCGTTGTTGTTATTGTTGTTATTGTTAAGAGGAAAGTGTATTTATTGTACGCTCACACACAATAATTGCACACGTGTCACGCGAGAAAGACAAAGTAGCAGCGAGGAGTCACGACTACGACTATACTTTCCGGCCATGTGGCTTTACTTTGAGTCGCGACAATTGCGAATCACAAGTTTCTAATCAAACTCCGTACACCTATACGATACTATAAATCCTATACACGCTCAAAGTTTTGTAAGGTAATGATAAAAAAGAAATTTTGCATAGAACGCTGTGGCAGAGAGCTGTGTCGTTTTTAAATAGAGAGCTATTTTTTTGAGAGCAACAATGATCAGACTATTTCTGCGGTACGACTAATACGAGTAGAACAAAGGTCGTGACTCTCGAATCCTGCAGTCGTACATTTCCCTCGATAAGAAAGTGTCGAGTGATCGGTGTCAGTTCAAGCGATCAAGCTGATGTTAATTCGTTATTACGTCGAATATCTACCCCACCAATTAATGATTTGTCGTCCGCAAGTTGCAGCTCACTTCACGATGACATGTATTATGACCGACCGATGATTTATTATCACGCATTATATATCGCTCGCATTGTTATACACGTGAATCCAAGTTAATAGTGAACGGCAATTATCGGATATCACGAAATCATGAGTGGACTCGAAAAGGGCGTATCTAGTGCGATCATATCGGTATGAGGACACTGTATGTGACGTGACTCTATTATAAAATGTGCATGCACACGAGTTTCTTCCTTTCTTCTTCGTCGTCGTGTTCATGTAATGAATCTATCAGAACTCGCCGTGTCGCGCTTGCGTGGTAACGAATACAAAGAAAGACATTGAAATTATAAACAAAGATTTATTGTATATGAAGCTACTGTGATGTTACTGTTGAATATAAAAAAATATATCTATATATATATATATATATGTATATATGTATATGTGTATATATGTGTATATATATGTATATATGTGTGTATATATATATATATACTATATATATAAACACGTACATATATACATACACACATATATATATATATACACACAGAAAAACAATGCTGTATTTAAAAAAAACTCGTGTCTAAAGAATTTTCTTTTATCTCCTCGCTCACACTGAAACAAAGTCTGTCGCGAATCTGTGAAAGTGAAATTGTAATTTATATTCGTACGAGCAAACTATTTTTTAAAAAAACGACAACGTGACTGATCTATTATGTAATATAGGCAATAAAAATGTATTGTGCTAGATCTTCTCTATATGTGTGTTCGTGTAAACCTTGTCAAGTTAGTACGTAATGGAATATAGAATAAGAGAATCTGTTCCCTTCGTCACATGCATCTTATAAAGGTAAAAAAGAATATCGTCGCGCGCGTATATCACGTATGATATCGTAAAAAAATCAATAACATATAAACTATGTATGAGATCTGGATATCTTTGGATCGATTATTTTTTGAAACGATTAAGCGTGATTAAATTTAAATTTATATGCATATTAATCTCATTTAATTTGGAGGAAATTGTTATTTTGTAAAAGCTACAAAATTCGTTACTATATAAACTTGCTGTTGTTCGTAAAAAAGTGTGATATGTGATAATATTCGTATAAATTTTAAGTAGATCACTTAAGGTTCAAGTAAATTTTCTTCCAACTCAATTAACCAAAAGTAGGAGTTTACTAATACGATATTTATAAAATGTACACATACATCTTGTTATAAAATTGCATAAAAACATAACATTGATTTTTATGAGAATAGTTCCCTTATTAAAAATGTCACATGTAATGAAGATACATGCTGCATCAAACTTTTTCATCATTCAACGTAAGATGTTTTAGTCGAAATTTAAAAAAAATAGCAAATTCAGCTGAAATTTATTACACATTGGTAACTATAATTTCTACTACAAAATGTCTGAAATTTTGTAGTCAGTATTAATGATCTACATCGGAGGTGTTCTTGGTCTACAAGCGTACAACGATACCATGTAGTCGAGTGAGAAATATGAAAATTCGCAACACTGACTTGCGTCGCAATGAAGCCGCAAATGAAAAATCCCGGATGACATTCCGAAGTTTTAACGCATAATAGAAATTCAATAAAATGATATTCACATTTGATTTTAACGATTCAAAATTATACTTGATAAAGTTAGTCTTTGCATTTAACGTTTAAGTTTATTTTTGCCAAAAAATAGAAAGTATTAATTTATGATGGTTAGAAGTCGTCTTTGAGATAGAGTCGTCTCTATAGCTCATATTAAATATTCACAAATACGTCAACGTGCGCAACGTATTCATATAGCAATTTATAATATTCCTAACTACCGTAAGTTATTTCGACTATCTCAGAGAAAATGTACAATAAATAACAATGTGTACATATTTATATACACACAATAGATACGATGCATTTCAACCTGTCCATGTGTACTAAAAATTGAATTACAAACAGCGGTCTGAGAGTATTGAGCCTATACAAATATTTCCCTATAAAATTTGAATGCGCCTGAAGAGCCGCGGAGGAATTGTGTAAATATGTTATAAAATCATATTTATTTACAATTTACAAGACCGATAAGGATAACTGTACAAACACGATCATTATAACGGCGATGGCGGTTTTTGCGTATCGTTTAAAAAAATTGTAACCACCGTATTAAAACATTGCGTCTGACTTCTAGGTACATGCTGTTGTAGCAAATATCTTCTCAGGTAAAATCCGCGAGTACACGCGGCATGATCTTAGCGCTCTACAACCGAGATCTGCGTGCGTCAATGAAGTTTCTATAGCATTGCTGAAAGCGTACGCAACGCCAAATGCAGTCTTATTAAAACGCTAGACCGTTGAGGTCACGAATCAATACATAAATATGTACAATTTTTGTACACTTTTGTTAATCATAATTATTTCCGTTGGGATTCCTGAAAATAATTTCAAGACAAGTTAACATCGCCTTATTGTCAATTTAGAGCTTCATTTCACCATTTAGCCCTAACACTCCAGTCTTTCGGTGTCCAATGCAAACACTTGGGATCTATCCTGATCTGCCTCTTTTCCATAGCGGCTGCATGTTGCTCGATTATCTCCCTGCAAATAAGAACGTGAATAAGTTATATATAGGAAGATCTAATAATTAGCTCTAATACAGGCTCTAACAATTAGCTAATCTCCTTTCTTTGCTATATTGGCGAATTGATTACCTATTTAACGTCACGATATATTGCCCCTTGTAATAATTAATGAGATTCAAGTTCTGTAGAGTCGATATCACGTCCTCCTTCTTGATCGATGTTAATTCGCAGATTTCGCTTATCGTTATCTGCGGTTTGTCATTTTCCATCGTTGGCTTGACGTTCAGCAGGATATCGAGTATCGTATGTGCCCAATAACTTCGATATGAAAGCAGACCTAAATCCGACAACGGTTTCTCAGGAGAACCGGTCTTTCCTTCGAATTTCGATAGCTCGTATGAAAATTCTATCAGGAGTTTCCCGTAACCTCTCCTCTGGTACGGTGGCAGTGTAAGAATGCAAGCTACATTGTGATCCTCCGTTGATTCTTTCTCCTTGGAAAAGTACCCTACTATGTGAAACCCTCTGCTATCGAAGTCTGTCATTACGTAGAATAAAAAGGGGTCCGTGTCGTAATGGAGAGTTTTGTGATCTAGAAATAGCTTCGCTAGTAGGCAGAGATTTTGTGCGTAATTCTTGTTCTTACGTCCGTCGATCTCAAAGAACGATATAGATCCTTTCCTGTATATCTCATTCCCGGGCGGATGACGTAAATTACATTTGACTAAATGCCTTTCTAAGCACTTTCGGCTTTTTCTATATTTCAGGCAGAATTCACAGATATATATACAAGATAAATTCACCATCTCCTGCGGGTATGGACTGAAGTACCATGGTTTTATTCGATGGCGACCTAATTCGATTAGTTCTACGTTTTTCATCCGCGTTATTACATCATCGTTATGATGTGCTACTAAAGAACCAGTAGGTCTCGGACCCGGTGTTTGTGGCGGGCCATCCTGAGAATCCTCGTTCTCTAGGAACGCGGCTTTTCTTTTTCTAGACATTTTCTTTTGTAGAGCAGCTTGGAGAACAGCGGAACCATTAACCGGTTCGCTGCTGACGCTGCTAGGACTAGGAGGCCTACTGGCAGCTTGTTTTTTTGGTGTTGCCGCGCCAGTTCCTGGTGTCGTTCCATCACGACGTGGGTACTGAACTTTTCTTGTATCCAAAGAATCTTCCATAACCCATTCGTCCAATCGTTTATTGACTAAAATTATTGCATACGTTTAAGCAATGACACTGATATACGGAGGATTATTATACACAGCTCAAAACAATTAGGGAATCATTTCTTGAAATTTTTATACTACACAATAGACATTATGTAATATTAGTCAAGATTAAATAATTTTTTCTGCATGTTTTGGTATCTGACTGTTCATTCGGTATAACCTAATTGTTTTGTATATATTTTGTGAAAATATTAAGTGATTTACTTACAATCCACATAGTGAACGTAATAACATTTGACACCTTGTACTTCTTTAACGCTGATTATCTCAGCAAGTGCTGCAAATAGAATAAGAAAAATCTTCATACATCACTATTATAAATCTTGGTTACATTCTAAATACGTATCTCTGTTTATAAAAAGATATTTGTATACGAGTTTGTCATATATAAAATTGTATAATCCAATTATACAAAATACTTTATTTCAAATTTAGAACGACACACATATAAAATACAATAACAGAAAGTCTTGCAATAGGTTTTATAAAATAATTATTACAATGTAATAAAAATCAAATACAGGTAATTATAACCAGAATATCTTGAAAATTATCGAAATATTATTCATGAGAATAATATAAAAATTCAATTATATGTTTTGATCTACATTAAGGTAGTTTATACTCAATTTTTGTTAATGAATCGTAGTACTTTGTGACATGTTACAGTCCAAATCTTCTAGAACACAAAATCACAAGTGCTGGTAGTAAAACGTCATTTGGGTCTAAAATGAATCAACATTCATGTAATTTACTTACGCCAATCATCTGTACCGTGCATTTTAACCGGTAAACGGCAACCTTCAACCAGTGAGTTCTGAAAGTGAGGTTAGAAAGTTACGATATCTGTGATATTCGCACTTTGTGGGTTTTTCCAGATAAACTATTGACGTTGTCACGTTCAGCATATTGTATTACTTACCACTGAATCGCATATTGTTTCACGTTCGTCGTGCTCCTCGATCATTTCACTTAAAAATCGGGGGAACTTGTTACCAAACACAATTTTGTTTTCAAGCGCTCTGAGTACTGACACCAGCGCCGTATAAAGCAAACCACGAGGAGTCTCAAACGGAGAGAGAGGAGAAAGAGTAACGCGCGTTTACAGAAAGAAGTCCAAACCCCACCTACGTTCACTACCGTCAACGAGATACATTCGAAGCCCGACGTTGCACGAATTTGGTTTGATGCAACACGCTAATGCGAAAGAAAGGACTAAACTCACCGAAGCAGGAACACGTAATGTAGACAACCTATCTTGTCCCGAAGCATCAGTATCGTCAAGCAACAACAAACATCTTTCCCCTCTATTTCCCTCGTACGGCGTCCATGTTTCGACACGACGCAATCACCATCGGTTATGAGCGTGGGATAGCATGTTTAATCACACTTGCACGAGTCGACCGATATGCCAAACTGATCGCTCATCACTCGATTCAGTAATCCTAATAGTTGTGCACGCACGGAACTTGAAGACAACAAGTTAAAAGACACAATGAATACAGAGCGGTTGCGATCCGTATTCATTCGAACCGTCGCGAATAACGTGAAACTGCTACGAATTGGCGCGTCACGTGACGTCAATTCAAACAATTTGAACATAGTAATATTCAGCTACTGAACGATTCCCAATATGGCTGTGCGAGAGTTCGTCGAGATATATCGTCCGTCCACTCCGTACTTCCCGAGATTATTGGTCAATGTTTTTTGCGTTTATCACGCGATTAATTATCATTGAATAACCATCGGGAATGGATATATCATGATATGATATATATCGGCAATGAGGAACAAAATATCATTCTATTATGGCGCATGCGACATCTATACGCAATTCCGTTAACTACAGTGCTGTCGGTAATGATAAGTCGTGTGGTAAAAAGTTGGATCACTTACTCGTTTACGTCCTGCAGTCTGGCTTTAGACAAACGTTGAATATTTTTATTGGGGATATACTGACAATCTTTCTCTATATTAATATTTATAATAAAAATCTTTAATTTTTACAAATGTATGAGGATACTCTTAGCCATCTATAAAAATTGATGATCTCCTAGAAGTAAACAGTCGATAATATCAGTGCTCTTCTATTATCTCCTACGTGTTGATAATCACTAGACTTTACCCATATCCAATGCAGATATTAAATCGGCAAAATGATGAGTTAGAAAATTTTCTAACAAGGTTCAACAAATTCGAAAATATGTCTAGGTGACGTTTTTTATACATGTATATATGTGTCATTATATATTTATCAAATGTATTGCTTAAATCAAATATATATTCCTTGAATTCCTTGAAGTTTATACATGAAAATATAAGCATAATTTAAGGCATATGTAATTAATATACTTAAAGAAGAGAGTCTAAAGAGATTTTTTTATTAAAAATCAATCATTGTTTATTAATGATTCACATATTATTAATAATTATATATATTATTTTTTAAACAGGGGGATAATTATGGCACAACATAAAATTAGATGTAATTAATTATAATTAGAAAAACAATTGAGAATTATTGCAATATCTTATTGTTATCGCAATTAGCTGGAATTTATTTTAGCGAAAATTATTGATTGTCGCAGAGAGTGTCGCGAAGTTCCGGCCTAATTTCGACGGGAAACGTCACAATGTAGATCCGTAACGCACCAATATAGAAGGAGAGTGATGGAAACACATAAATATTAAATATGCCGAATGGGTTATCGCGACGGAGTAGCAGTAACGGTGAATGAGACAGCATACGCGACGGTAATTAAATACGAGGAGACTAAACTTAGTAGCGAACGTTGAGCGGGAATACTCGAAAATTAAGTCATGCGATTTAGATCGCGCTACAGCTTCCCATTCTTGAGCGTAGAATTCACTTCGTACGGTATGCATTCTGAAATACATGAACGTAACACACGCGACGTCATACACCCATACATATGCATCCGCGCAATATATTACCGTTATTTGTGCATTAAATCATTATCATTGCGCTTGACAAACCTGCGCGTTACAAACACGAACTATAGCGATTCTCGTCTCAATATCCAGAAACGATAGAAAATGATAATGTTCGTATCTTCGTGTTCTCTGAAGAAACTCGTAACTTAGATACGCGTCGTACGAATAACTCCAAATTCAGAGAATTCTCCGGTTAGATGCATATATAAAAATTTTTAATCGAACCATCGCGTTTCAATTAATCCGTTTGCCAAAGTAACCATGATAACGCAGCGTAATCGTTTCTCATCAAATTTAATTTTATCGGCAACGCTCCTCGCGTGTGCAACTTTGCATATGCATAAAAGTACGCGCAGCTACCGGCGAACGTGGTGTCGGAATGTTTTTCAAGTACCCCGTGGTGCGCGCTTATCTTCTTGAGAGATAACGCCCCGATACCGAAAATACGAGCCGTTCGATCGACCGTGTCGTATCGAAGGCCCACTGCCGTCTCCTGAACGGAACCCCACCCGGTATACACGTCTCTATGCCTATATATCGGCTGTATGTATTCACGTATGTGCACGTGGAGTCTGCGACCTTACACACACACACACACACACACATACATATACATGCCACACACAACACACGTACGCATACATTCACGCGCGTACAAACACAAACACAAACGAGCGCACACATATGTACGCGTACCGGCACACATAAGTGTGCTCGCATCGAGCATATATATAAGGGTTGATAGTGCTCGGGCGAGCGAGTCACCCTTACGTGCAGGGCGTGGCCAGGGTCCACCAATCGGAGGACAGGGAGAATCTCACCGAAGGACCAAATCGAACGAAGTAAAAATTTCAGCGGTCGCGTCAAACGCCGACGCCAAAGGGGATGAGCGCGGTTGATCCGGGCTTACATTTTCCTTACTCACCCCCGTAGCGAATCGCCACACGCCGCGTCGCGTACCCTTCCGTTCGTTTTGTAGCACAATCTTTCACGTGTGAACGTAATGTTGCTCGCGAGCTCGCTTTGTTATTCTTTTCTCTTACGAGCCTCGCGATTTATTTACGAACTCGGATAATTTGATAAATGCAATATTTCGTACGGTTGTCTCTTCGGTGAAAAAGTTATCGGTCGTGTAAGATTTACTTTCTGCAAAGTGCGTATTTTTAATTCATGAAAACGTGTCTAAGATTTGTTGAACGATGAAGGTAATTTGTTGATATTATTTCTACAACAGTTTCACGAAGGCGGGAGAAGGAAAAGGTAAAATGCGATATTTTACGGGAAGTGTGTCGGTAAGGAGACACGAAATGCTCAGTTTGTTCGAAGAAAGAAATTTTATTTTGCCTTGTACTCTGTCTTACGTAGCGATACTTCAACACTACGCCCATATAATTGCACAACAAAGATTCGTATACGGGTTCGGGGAACCCCTCTTCTATCAGTGTTTCCCCGATATCATATACTATTAATCGTGAGCTCGTTTACAAATGAAATATAAGGCAATTACGCGTTCCTTCCCCTCGCGTGTACTTCCGCAGGCGGATTCTCATAAAATCAAATCATTGGAGCGAATCGATTTGACTGCCGGCGCACGACTCGCGACAAGTGACTCGGGGCAAGCCCTTCTCGGGGACAACGCGGAGATTCTTCCGCGTGTTTCCCGCCGCCGAATTTTGGCCGCACAGCCGACGAACTACATATATACATCGTCGGTCGCAAAGAACCGAGTGAAGAGGGACGCGTGGAACAGGCGGGGGGAGGATGTCGGGAGGGAAGACGGAGTGGTAGGGTCTGCGTTTAATAGCCGTAGTGTTACCTCGGAGGCCCTTCGCCATTAAGAATCCCACAAGACCGTCCCGGAGACCTCCCAGGCACCCTTCCACCCCCGATACCCCGGTCGCCCACCCCCGGGTTTCCCCGGGACATATTACACCGCGCCCCGGTAACGCGGATACGATACGTGGCTGTACGTGCCCGCCTATGACTATATATCGCCGGAGAGGGTATACTACGGTACACTAAAATCATTAGGAGCACGTGCGCCTCGCAGCGCGCAGAATCCCGGTCCCTTGCCATTAGAATGCTTAGAGACGCGACGCTGTCCTATCCGGAGATCAATATCAAAACAACGTCGCGTGACCGCCCACAATCGCGACGCCGCGAATCCTTCGGCTCTGCCGGCTCTCGTCTCACGGACAAGACGATCCCGTCAGCGTAAATACTTGCCTCTTCTTCATGTCGAGTGGCTTGATCGATGAGAGGTTTCGGATGCTTGTCGTTGGCAGCCGCCGAATTGTGCCGTGGAAGTCGGGAGAGCGAGAGATGGTTTTCGTTTAAACAAGCAACACCCCGCATCGATATTAGCCGATCTCCCCCTCTTGTCTCCCAAGACATTTCTCGCTATGATCAAAAGCATGAGGAAAGCATGAGGAAAATTTAAGTTCTATTTACAGACATTCCCTTCAGTACTTCATCACGTTCATCACGTGACTTTCGGAAGGAAAGTCCCTCTGTTAGAGGCACTTTCTTAGTAACACTGTATCATGTGCTTTGTTTCCCATTCTCAATAAAACAAAACGCTATTCGATGCTATCCGCGATATATTCGCTTTTCCGTCGAGTAACAACCCCCGTTAACCGCGTCGTCATCTTCGTGTTCTGACCGCGAAACTGAAGGAAAAGAACGCCGCTTACACAATCTTGGTGCATCTACTTTTCTAAATTACGTTGCTCTTCTTCACCGTCTCGGCTCTTGCATATAAGAGGTTGCCTCAAAGGAGAAAGAGCGAGTGAAAACGAGCGAAGGAGGGTGTTAGGAGACGCGCGGAGGAGGACTTTACCGGAGGGAAAGAGACGAGGAAGAGAGAGAGAGAGAGAGAGAGAGAGAGAGGGAGGGAGGGAGGGAGAAAGAGGGACGAAGAAAATAAGCGAGCTGTAGAGAGAGAGAGAGAGAGAGAGAGAGAGCTGGTACTCTCTTCCTCGCGCTGCTTAAAATTCATAAGGCTCTCTGTTTACTTACTAAAGATACGCGGCTTGCCCCCATCGCATCCCAATCCTATGCCCCCCTCCCCTATAGCATGGTGGTCTGCACCCCCGCGTTTTGCCGACGTCACGCGAGACCGTGCTTTATCGCGGAAAATAAAATTATTGGTTGCACTTTTCTCCACGCGGGCGGCGAGAGAGCTCGCGCCGCTCTTTTTGTCGTCGTCGTCGTCGTCGTCGCCGTCGTTCGCGTCGAGAGAATCC